GGCAAGTGGTGTTTAGGTTACGTAAGTGGCTTTTTTCAGTCTACTGTAAACAGGACATGCACTGTACATATGATAGTATGCCACACACTTAACGTCTAATAATGAACCCATTTTTAAAATTCGACTTAATTTCCATCAACTTTAGACTGTTAAAGCATGAAAACCAAAACATAATCTTATTAACATTATTGTTTTTAATAAGTTGTATTTATATTGTCCTCTGCTAAATAAAAGATTAAAACTACAAAACGTAACCAGAAAATGGCACTAACCGACACTGTTACCTCCACCAAAGGCGAGGTAATGTTTTCGGTTGCGTATGACTGTCAGTCGGTCTGTCTGTCTGTGGACAACATTACTCAAAAACTTGTAGATGGATTGTCATGACATGTTTACCACATGTGGGTACTGGGCCAAGGAACACACCTTTAAATTTTTGTGATGTTCCGGATCACGATGCGGATACAGGAATTTTTTTCTTTTAACCCACTGAGATCGGCAAAGCTGTGATGCTTTCACAGGGCTTCTGTAAAAAACAGTGAGCTGGATTGGACAGCACGGACTTCAAACTTTATAAAAGTAATGTTAAAACCAGATTTAATGATGAATAATTTTTGCCATAATATGCGCATTTACAGAACGTTTTGTGACCAGGAAGTGCGTGACTGCATCCTGAAACTTATTTTTCCCATTTCCTCAAACACACCACATTTCCGAAACAACCAATCAAAACAGTTTCTCGCTACTAGGCTTGTAAACAGAGAGCTGCCGGGCCTCAAAGTTTGGAGACGGGGGAGCCAGGAAGTACTTTATAAAGAGTCAAACCATTACAAACTCATACAAGGGGATAAAACAGACGTTTTACATGGTGAAATGTGACTGATGAAAACTTAGGAGCTTAATCCGACACCAGTATGACYATGAATAACGTCGGGTGACGAGTCTGACTTTTATTTTTTCTTTTTCACTTTGGACTCCATCGAGAAGAAATCCCATGCATACTGCCTGCTTAAATGTTCGCTACGTCAGAACTTATTCGGCAAATGTGTTTCCATCTCTGCTTTTTCGCATTAACTCTTACAGGATGGGGGAAATTGGTCTCGGCGGAGGTTTGCACTCTCCGAGTGCATCTAGTTTTAATAAGAAACACTGCACTTTAAACGCTAAACTTTGAACCCATTTTTTTTCCCCAACTACCAAGTTTGGGTCATTTTTAGATTCACTCAGGTTGGCTTCACAGCTGAGAAGCTAACCATAGGAACCTTCGGTTTCTGCCACACTGCAGGCTTATAAAATATGTAGCAGCAAAAACAGTTGCAGCATTTGTTTCAGTCAACGAGGTTGACAGTGTTTTCAGTGAGCATGTCATGCTTTGTGTTTTGGACACAAAACTAGAAGCAACTCTTGCAAAAGAAATCAGATCCTTTTCGTCGAGTCTCAACAAAAATCTGGATAAAGATTCTTTAAAAGAAATAAAACAGTGTCGACCTTTAAGTTGCAAGATATTTAAATAAAAGCTTTTATTATGCAATTGTTAAAACTTTACTCCTGTCCCCACCCACAAAACTAAACAACCACCAAAATAAAACAACAATTAAAAAAAATCCAGATCCTGAACATCTTCAGGGAAAGGTTAGGAGATTTTCATGTTTTTTTGTGTTGTCCAACCAGCTCTRCTGCCATGATCTGGGCAAACACAGGTCAGGTTCTGGGTGGGATTAAACCGGAGCGAGACAGAGAGCACACGCTGGTCATGCAGACAGAATGCGATAGACTGGGACTGAGCAGGGAGGAAGCAGAGGAGGAGYGAGCGGACAGAGGGAGAGGAGGGAGGGAAAGGGGGGAGGTAGAACGTGATGGTCCACGTGACTCCGCCTCAGTCACTGCAGGCTGTTACGTAAGCGCACCCCCTGCCCCGTCTCCTCATGGACCGAGCAGACTCTGCTTCTCTCCAATCCCTTACCCGGCAGACGCTGCCCGCTTTTTCTTTTTTTTRTCTCCTCCCTCCCTCCTCCTTCCACTCACATGGCTCCTCACATGGCTCTTTCCCTTTCTCTGACTCTCCTCCACCCACTCATTGTACCCCAGGGGAGCCACCAACCTCTGCTGCCTAAGCTGTCACTCTGTCTCTCTCCTTCTCTTTTTGTCTGACTGCCTCTCCCTCTCTCATTATTTCCATCAATCGTCTTCTCCCTCTCTTTTTCTTTCCCTCCCTCCCTCTCCGACTCGCCCGTGCAGTGAGGCTGCAGCTCCACACTCCGGGCTGAAGGGAAACGACAAAGAAGAGGCCACAAATGCTCGCTGGAACACTCTCACAAACACCTACACAGACTGACATTTCACATYTTGTTACTGCACCGTCTGGCTTTTAAAAAGTAAGATTTTCACCTTGAATTCTTTTAATCTTTCTTTAAAACTTGAGTCATTTTGCTTTTGGACAGAAAAAAAACTTGACTGAAAAAAATAAAAAAAAGCTTAAGGATGAACTGATGAAACAATAGACTGCATCACTTTTTCTCTACCTGTTTTAGCACGTGTTTTTTTAGGGGGGCTGAAATGTCGACTAGAAGCAGAATTTCTGCATCATTTCTGACTTCTTACACCTTAAAGCTCAAACACTCTTTGCAGATGACTTTACTCTCTTCTGGTGCACATATGCATGCACAAAATATGCAGAAGRTCCCTTTACCAACTCTCTCATTCATTTTTCAGGTCTCTAGCTGCGAAGAGGTGAAGCAGGACATCGGGTCCTGTAACCACCCCTCCACCGCTGCAGTATTGATTTGTTTGTTCAGTGCTTGCCCCCCTATCCCCATCCCCACATTCTGCTCCTCCCTTCACTTCCTCCTTTCTTTTCTCCTTCTCTCTGCACGAGTGTCCTCAAGTGCCTCCCTGCCTTATGTAACGCAGACGAACCCACAGCATACTGATGAGGGGAGTCTGGGCTCCGGGCCGAAAAACCTGCAAGGAAAACAAGAACTCCGCTGCTGCACTGCTGATGGGAGGACAGCACTGCTGGCAGACGAACACGGGCCCTAAATCCGCTGCAAACTTTCGAATACTTTCACATAATTAAAGRGTTCTTAAGCCGCAACGATTTTCTGCCAGGAAAAAAAAAAGGAAGAAGTTTGCAAAACTGAAATAAAACATTTAAAAGACGGGGTCAAGTACTCACAGATTCCTGAAAAGATTGCTTCTTGTCCAGCATCTCCCTGAGGGTCTGCAGGATCTTTATGCACAGCTTTTCCTCTTTTTCTATCAGCTTCTTGGTGTGTTTGATTAGTCTGGCAGAGGGACAAAAAGAAGTGCTGTATCATTTATAGCCATTTCCTACCAGTGCAGCTCATAAAACAAAGCAATGCATTATTGACCACCACGGATGAGATGTGCTACGGGTGCAGCAGCACAATCACCGTAAGCCTGCTGCTTTAATACTCTGTTAAATTAGCTTTTCATAAAATAAGTCCAACGAAGCACACTGCGCGGCTGCTCGCTTGCAGCTTTAAATAATTGTCGTTGCTCAGTTTCTARTGTTTCCGGAGCCTCTGCAGCTTTTAACRAGCACWAATATTTTGTAGGAGTTAAGAACATGAGCGTTTGCTGGAGAGGTGGGTTTGGAGAGCTTCTCACTTCGACATGAAGGCTCCACCATCGCAGTGTAAGCGCGCCGCCTCTGGAAACAGCAGCTCGGGGCTGTGAAGAACGTCCACCAGCACCGAGAACTCTGCCCGGACCCTCGGAGTGAACTGGTCCTCCAGAAAGGACACGACCCCCTTTATCAGAGACAGAAAGCAAAACGCAATCATGCAAAGTCTTCATCACCTGCTGACCTTCTGTTCACGTTATTTAGAAGTTATCAAGAAAAACATTGAAAGATTTACTTCTAAACTTTTGAACAATTAATATCTTACCTGTTGTAGATAGCTCGTTAAAGAAACTTGGCTTGGAAGAATAATTTAATTCTGAGCTAACGGCTTGTCTGAGATGGGCCAAAGTGTTTTTTGTGAAACCTATTTTATAACCCTTCACATCCCTGTCAGTTCTGCATTACACAGCTATTCATATATTATTCTCCTGTTATTCGGAAGCACAAGTAGTGGCATGAGCTAGCTGTAGCATTTCCTGTGCAGCCTAGGYCTCTTCCAGCATTAATATGATACAATTTCTACCAGAATAAATGTGTAAAACAAAAATAAAGAAGAAGATGAATAAAAAAAGTTTTTTATAGTTTAAATATTAATCTTTTACAGATGTAGGCAGCAACAAAAGTTGTTAAATTAGACATAATTTAACTTTATTTTTCTAAACTAGGTAAAAGAAAGGCTATCTACAGCGGTTAAGATATTAACTGTTCATAATATATCAACATAACCCCACTTCTGAAGATTTGAGTTATCATTTTAAAACATTTAAACATAAAAACTGACAAAAATGCCTTCTATGCGAGTCAAAAACTACACTGTATGCTTCAAACTTCTCAATAATAGACTTCCAGACCTGCAGCTTCTCGATGATGATCATGTAGTCGTGGCTGGGCGTGAACTCCCTACGAGGCCGCGTACGAGCGAACTTCCAGTCCTTGACAGCTCGCTTCACCATGTTGCTGTGGACTTTAAGAGACAGAGTGTTGACCTGGCTGTCCAGGTCGACGGGGATGGCTATGGACCGAGTCTTAGCTGAGGAAAGAACATGGAAACATTACACATTAGGGTAAATTTAAATCCTGCTTGAACAGTAAGCACGATATGAACACAAAACCTCGGTCCTGCTTCACTCCATTGGCTTCCTGTCGGTTTCTGAATTAATTTCAGGATTCTGCTGCTTGCTTTTCAAGCTTTAAAGGTCTCATCGTACTTATGTGATCTCCAGTAAGAGCACTCTGGTCTGACAACCATTTTCTTTTAGATGAAGAAGCAAGTCCAAGATCCAAACTAAAATTAGGAGGTGATCAGGATAAATCTGTGGAATAATTTAACTTGCCATATCAAACCACTGACCTTACTGAGACAATTAAATCTATGCTCTGGACTTTCTTCCTGGAATTGGAGTCAAGCAGAGCTCGAGATCCACATAGAGATGATGATTTTAAATCTGTGCATGTTTTGCTTTTTGGGTTTACCTTTTCAAAATTAAATGAGAAAATCTACTAGTGCAAAACTGATGTTTTTATTTTTTAATGGCTGAAGCAAAGACAACCATTACATTTCGTTAGTGCACCGTTTGTTACTTTCAGGTGGAAACAGAAATCCTGTCCTGAACTCTCGATGTGTTACGTTTTCACTTCTCACCATAGATGTTTGTCTTAATTAGAGGGAGTCGATTCGACAGCTGATGATCTTACTGTGAACAAAATCACTTTAATAATCTAAGTTCTGCAGATCAAGTGCTGCCATTGCCAAGATCATCTTCCAGCCTTTGTCGACTACCGTCATTTCCTGTATCCTTACATATTAAAACCATTTATTTATTTTGGATTTAGATAACTGAAGCAAAAATATGTGGATTTTTAATTTTATTTTTCCATTTAAATCAGAAAAACAACAGTTTTGTTTTTGCAATTTTATTCTGAAATGGAAAAACCAAATATTGAACCATACATGGATTGTTTCATGGTGTAGTTTTGTGTTTTATTTTAATATTACTTATATTTCTTTGCTTTTGTTGTTATTTTATCTCTTTGTCTGACCAAATTGTAAAGCACTTATGATCATTTTGTTGTTTATGGGCTTTAGAAATAAAACCCAACATCGACATAAACTTCAGCAGAAACAGCAGGAAAATAATATGTATTTTAATATCACTTCAACTAAAAAAACATTAAAAGTGCTTTATGCAGCCTACACTGGTGGCCTACATAGGATGTGGTCTACGTCGGCTTCAACCCCTGAACTCGTACTTTAAATATATACTTTAAATGTTTTCATAGGTTTGTGTCCAGCAGAATTGGACAGCCGTGCATCAAGACTCACCTACATCAGCCAGTGTTTTGATACAGTTTTCAACGTTGGCCTTCTGAGCCGTGTTGAGCCAGTTGCAGTTGTAAACTCTGAAAGCTGACTGGAGCAGCTTGATAAAGAGAGACTGGTTTGTCTGTGAAAAGGAGAATAAAAAGCACGGCTATTACTTAAAGGGTTTAAGTGCAGAGAGAAAAAAAACAGGTTTTTTAAAAAGCTGGCTGAGATCACACAAACATCATCTCTGGACAAATTGCAAAACACACCTCTGGCTGTATGTTTAAAAATGCCTCCAATAAAACCTGAATGTCTGAGGTAGAAGAGCAGTTYGGATGGAAAGACTGTTTTTAAATAATTTTACCATAAAACAGTAAAAAGGGTTTTAGAATCGGCTCTTCAGAGATGAAAACACTACCTGCAGGTTGGAGTGGTTTACAGAGAAAGGTGAGCTGAAGAAACCCTTCATAATGGCCATCATTGTTTCCGTCACGTACTTCTCCAGGGATAAATCTGCGTGACTCCTATCGGTGGTGGTGTTGCACACCTTAAATATAAAAACAAACCYTTCTCCATGAGCTTATTTTCATCTTAAACGTTGACATATTTCCACTTCATGCTACGTTATGCGAGCAGATTAGGCTTTTAAATAAAGTCTTGGTGAACCTTGACATGTACACGGCCTCYTTAAAGACAAAAAATAAGTGGTTCATGTTTTACCTTTTAACATAAGAGCGACTTACACTGGACATGTCAACCAAGAAGTTGTCAAAAAGCCTCCATATGTGGGGGGAGGTATAGATCTCTTTCATTTCCACCTCTGTGTCCACATAGCAGTGATTCACAAAGTTCACATACGCCATTTTCACCTGAAGAGAAGAAGAAACAGAGCGGCTACTGCAACATAGTCAAATGGAAGAGCTGTGGCTAAAAATAAAACGTGTTCTACGATCTAACTCGGGTTAAGCAGTGGGATATCAGGCCTGTACCTCGGGGATGCAGTTCAAGTCAGTGACGACTTTAACGATGTCYTCCAGCGGCAGCAGAGAGTTGCATTTCAGCTCCGTGTAGACGTTCTTGCCCTCGGTGCAAGCGGCAAGAAGGTCCACGAGCGCGTTGTGGTAGGCCAGCGCTCCGTCCTTGTTCGCCCGCTCCTCCTCAGAGCCCATCATCTCCACCAGCTTGGAGAAGGAGGAGCGGTCGTTGTAGAACACCAGCACGTCCTCGCCGGCGTTCACCAGCTGGACCGGTCGCACAGAAACACCACCGATGTTAGGAGAGGTTGTTTTCATTTGCGCCAGTCGTTTGGAAGTCGGAGCATTCTTACCTCAGTCATTACTTTGTCCTGACATTTCTTCACGTACTTCCCGTCGCCTTTCACGATGGTGAGCAAGAACTTGAGGCACTGAACGTGCTTCCCRTGCGTGGCGATGCTGTGGACGAGGTGGTGGACCACGCGGTCGCTGATCTCGTTGCACAGCTGATAGTTGTCCATGAAGATGTGACGCATCGTCTCCATCGTCTCCAGGAGCTGCTTTTAAAAAACAGTCACGATCATTTTGGAGGATGATGACAATCTTTGGCGGACGCAATTTGTGTAATCTGAACGAACCCCGGAGGAAAGAAAGAAATTCAGGTGTTTGTGTAGGAGAACTTGATTCTGAGGGTTGCCTTTGCAGAAGTTTTGCAGGAAGTAGTGAGCCAGGCTCATGATTTCCTCCATCTTCTTGTCACTCTGCGGGGGAAAAACACAAAAAACAGGCTCTTTTTACAGAATTRCACACACCACTTTTGTATTACAACATAAACAAGTCAGTTCATAATTTTGTTTAATTAATCTGACATTTTTTTGCAGAATTACTGCGTTTAATCAAATTAGAAATCCAATTGAATTCCCAAAATACCAAGATAGATGAATACTGTTGCAGTAGATCATAAAAAGGATAAGTCGCTGAGCTGGTTCTTGATTGTGTTCCTCACCTGCTCATACTGGATCTTCAGCAGCTCCAGCACCACCGTATGGGCTCCCATGTTTTTCAACAACCTCTGATTCTGCTCTYTTCGAGCCTTCTTACCAGTGTTAGACTGCTTACACAACTTGGTGAGGCGCAGGAGGATCTAAAAAAGGAGAAAAACATTTTTTTACAGAAGAAACCTGTAGAAAAACTCAAACAACCATATGAAGACAAGTCACTAACCTCTTTAACTATGTTATAGTTGTTTGCCTTGTTACTGTCAATCTGAGGTTTAACTTCCCCATCCTGTACTGGGCTCAGAACAACCTCCTGGATAAAAAAAAAAAAAAAAAAGACCAAACATTTAGTTTAGATCAAGTTGAATTTTTGAATTTGAAGTGCAACAATCTCTAAATGCTGTCTGTAACTACCAGACAGTAAAACGCAAAGAGACTTATAACTAAACCAGGTTATATTAAAACCTGATTGATCAAAATAAAAGGTAAAAATGTAATGTTTAATTACCAAACGCCTTAGTGTTTGTGCTCCGTGTCGTTACCTCCATGGTCGGCTCTTTGCTCTGTCTGCCCTCCATGTCTTCGCTGACATAGCCGCCACTTTTCTCCACCCACAGCTCCGATTTCTCCACAGTCAGACGCAGCTGATCCAAGTCGGCCTTGATCTGCTTGTAGTTTTCCACGTCGCTCGCCGATACAAGAAGCTGGACCTAAAAACACCCGGCATAAAAAAAAGTAAAAAAGTAAATCTRGATAACAAACCTGCTGTTGTTTCATTTAAAGAGCTCTCCGAAACCCAAACATCAACCGGAGCAACGATGATTTACGTCTGGATGAAAAGTTGGGTTCTCCACATGAGTACCTGTTTAAAGGCCTGCAGCACRTCGGCTCTCTGACTGAAGTGTTTGAAGATGAGCTGCAGCGATCCGGACACCAGCGGCGGGTAATCTTGCATGATGAGATGAATGAGAACCCTCAGAAACGTGCGGCCGCCTTCATCATCCAACTCAACCGTGGCTAAATTAGAGCTAAAAACACATGAGAGGTACAAATCTGTTAAAGTCAGTGTTTTTGGAGGAAAAAAAAAACAAACTTCTGAGCGCATCGTCTCCTACCTTCCAGCAAACATGCTCTCTGCCTTTGCTGCAATCTCGTCGATGTCCGGCTCTGAAGCTAAAATCGAATGAGAATTACATTTAAAAWTTTTTAATCTGAAACAGTTTGAATTTGACTGATTAAAAACAAACAAACTCACATGTAACTGTGGGCATTTCAGACAAAGACACGGAGTTGTCAGGCATCGTCTTTTCCCCGAACTCTTTCTTGTAGATGGACAACAAGTACGTGATTCTGTAGTCCAGCCTCACGAACAGGATGAACTGACAGAGACACAAAAAAGTGAACAGCCACGAATCAAACAGCAACATTTAAATGATGGGGGGCAGGGGGGGTACAGGGCCGTACCTGCAGGATCTCGATGATCTTCAGCTTGGTGTCCATCACCATCACGTCCTCGCTGTCCGGCAGGAAGTGTCCTTTCCCGTAACGCAGGGAAGGGGACGTGTCGGGCAAGCTGTGCGGCACGCCTCGACTCATCACCATCTGCGTCATCATTTCGCCAACGCCGTGAATGGTTCGCAGGACGTTGTTGCCTGGAGAGGACGTTCATGTTGACTTTTGAATATCATAACCAGATTAAAAGAAATACATAAATCATATTCAAAAACGCACTCTTAATGAAGCAAAGCTTTTTTTGAAAACACATAATAGTTTTGCACGTAAGGCTTTTTGAGGTGGCCGTAGCACTGACCGGCCTCTGGACTCTTGCTGAGTTTGTTCATGAAGGTGAGCGGAGGCTGGACGATGTCGAGGATGGCCAGCAGGGTGCGRGTGAGGCGCATCAGCTCGCTGAAGCTGTAGAAACCAAAGTAAACCATCTGTCGAGCCAGATTCACCACCTGACAGAGAGAAAAGAACCGAGGCCGTCAGGGTCGTGCCAATAGTTTTCTTACTTGTCTTTTTTTTTAACCAGTTGAGTTTATGCAACTGAGCAAGACTTGTAAAATAACGGCAGTTCAAATACTTGTGATGGGGTGATCATGTGAAAAGGGGGAATTGAAGAAATTTATTGGGGTTTAGGTTATATACTGATGTTAATTACATACACATGGTATAGTTTTATGATAGAACTGCAATGATTGTTAAATGTGACTGTTTTGCTTAACTTGATGATTTTATATGGATAGATACATGCCTGAAAACAAATTCAACACATAACTGAACTTTTAAATCTTCATTAGGCTAGATTATGATTGGTTTGGAGGCATGGCTCCGAGCAGCGCAGGGACCCCTTACGATGACGCAATCAAATAGGCGGAGCCATGTCTCGGAGCYCTGTGTTAAATTCAAGTGTCATCCTGGTTTTCGGTCTGACTGCCACTCAAATAAACGAGGCTTTCAGCAGAGCGCTCCTCGGTTTTGTATGATCTCTCTTCTATTCTGTTCCATGCATTGGTACATTCTCCGTATGGTTCAAGCACACAAACACGCTTCACAATGTTTTTCTTTCAATAAAACAAGTGCAGGAGGCACAGACCGTAACAAAACCTCCTCCACAGGCTCCAGAGCCACGCAGAGTTCATTTACCTCCAGCGTCAGCTCATTTTTATCTTTCTCCTCAAATGGAAAAGGCTGGCTGACGACGTCTCGAAGATATTCTTCCACAAACTCCATGGTGGTGGCAAACTTCTTCTTCATCTCCTCTCGCAAGCTGTTCGTGGAGTCGTACTCGAACCTGTGGAATRCAAAGCGGACACTCGGTAACCAGAGGGCAGATAATTTACCTTTTTATCAACCTTTATTTAYCCAGGTGAATCCCACTGAGATCACAGATCTCTTATGAAAGGAAAGGCCTGTCACATAACCCAGAGAAAACCCAAGCAAACACGAGGACGACGTGCACACTCCACACAGAAAGACCCCAGGTCCAAACCCAGTACCTTCTGTGTTGTGAGGCATCAGTGCTAACCACTGAGCAAGMTTATAATAGTTTTGGATTTTTCATTATAGTTTTATTTTGTTCTGACCTTTTTTCTTTTAATTCAGTTAGTTTTAATTAGTTTTTACGGTGGATTTGATAGTTTTTATTATAGCATTTTTAATGCTTAGTTTTAGTTTAGTTTTTATTAGTTCTTGTATTAGTTTTTTTATAGTTTGAATAAACATATTTGTCAATACATTGTCAAGCTTTTGATGTTTCTGTGTGTTAACTAAATAACAGCTATTTGATCACAAGTTAAAACAGTCCATTAAAGCAACACCTTCCTAAAATAATTGCTTAACTCAATTTTGCAAACTAAGGACTTGGGCGATTATTTTAGGACGATGATAATAGTGGTCTCCAGCCCGGTGCTACCTGTTGTTTCTTTTTCAGGGGAGCTACTGAGAGAAGCTAGCGTGTCAAGATAGTCATAGTTAGCCATGTTAGCTTGATTCATGCAGTTTTTCCCTTGAGAATAATTCCACCTATTTTAATCACTCTTTTCCACTACAAGACGCTTTGATTTTTCTCGCAGTCATATTCAAAGAAATACCCAAGTGGACTTTGCCGCTTTTTCTTGTCGTCATTTGGCAGATGAGCGCTGAGCAGCAGACTGTAAACAAATGTTTTTGCCTGCAGCTAATGTGAAACTACTCAATTTGTAATAGATGTAAATAAATAACGATTAGTTTATTCAGTCCACACAGCTCAAAATAAATTGACCAAAACTAAAACTAAGGATATTCTATCTATAATTTCAGTTAGTTTTAGTTATCTTTTTTTTTCATTTTAATACAGTTTTTATTTATTTTAGTTAACTAAAATGTTGTTGTTTTTTTCAGTTTCAGTTTTTGTTGTTTAGTTAGTTTTAGTTAACTATAATAACCCTGCCACTGAGCCATGGCGCTGCCCACACCTCAGAGGACGGTGCTCACCCGCTGATGGTGACCTTGGAAGGAATCTCGTCCCAGAGGCGGGCGTAGCGCATGGGAACCACGGCCTCCTGCGGGTCGCGGTCCACGTGCATGTGCAGCATGAGGCGGCAGAAGGAAGCTCTGAGGTTGTAGGGCAGGCTGTCGTCAAACATGCAGCGCAGGATCACATCCACGGGGAGCTGACTGGTGATCTGGTTGATGGCCAGATACTGACGATCCAGACACATTTTAGCAAACAAGTTCAGCTGATACCTGAGGGGGAGTTTAAGGGGTAGAAAAGGAGAAAATGGAAACGCGCCGACTCGTGTTTATTTCACCTACTCTTGTTTTTTTTTTTGATGGTTTTAGGACACTGATTGAGCCGAGAAGTTATCCCATCACCTGTAGTAGGTAATGATGTCTGCATCTGCTTTGTGGTTGCCCTTGGCGTCCTGGGCCAGGTGGCGAATGGATTTACCATGAGGCTCCTTGTCGCTGTCGATCCAGTAGAGCCAAACCTCCTCCTCGTCCCCATCGTCTGGCATGGAGGTATCTATACTGGTGTCTATGTTTGACACTAGTCTAATGAGAAGTAAAACAGAGGGAGAGCCATATAAAGCAGTTAGTTARTCTGACACCGAGCTGCTGCTGCAGAAAATATCCATTTCAAAAGAGGCAGACACGCTGGAGGAAGTGGCGCTCTCACACCCTGTGGAGAGCGGATGCATGCTTAAACAAGTTTAAATATTGGAAAAGAAAAAAACCCGACAAGACCCTTGAAAGCCCGATAGCGCTGGGCGTGACTCACTTGGTCTGAATGAGGATGTCTGCGATGGAGGGGTTCAGAATAAATTTACAGATAAGCTCCTGTGTGACTGGGATGGCGGTCTTGTTGGACACACACAGATCAGACAGATAATCCAGGAATCTGACAGAGCAGACCGGACATGAATGAATAATGTCCAACAAGTTTATAGAAAACACGCAGCCGTGAGTACAAACTGCAACACCTCAACATGGAGGGTGAGATTATTTAAAGACAAGAAGTAATAACAATGATAATATTTTTAAACAGTTTTCATATTTTAAAGGAACAGAATCGTGCAGATCACCTGGGCTCTCTATTGCGCCTCAGCAGGTTGACAAACGTCTCAATCTCTTTGGCAGTGATGTGTTTCTCCAGCAGCTTGCGGTTGTTGTGCAGCAGGGCAGTGATCGTGTCTTCAGCCAGAATTTCATACCCAATCTGAGACTGCATGATTGAGAACTTCTTGGCTATATATTCCTGAGTGTCACAAGAAACGCATACGGTGCACAGAACATATTTTTAATGTAGCATAACACAGAGTGACTACACWTCATTTACATGATTTCATTAAAAAAYGTTACTCAGGGACYACAGCTGGTGAGTATTTCCATTAAGGGAGTGGAGTCGGCTAATCTAAGGGTCATTACGGTGACTCTCTATGAACAATAGAGCTAATCAAGGCACTAATGATCTATTGTTTGGCTGATGGTCCTCTTTTGCATGTGACTAACCACCATGTGGAGGCAGTGCTTATAAGGCTGAGTTCACCTGAAACTCCTCATACTGAAGAAGTCTCTTGGAGAGACAAAACGTTTCACTAAAGAAGAACCCGTCCAGTAATCCAGAGGACTTCCTTATTTTTTCTTTTAGATTTTTCTACTTGTATTACTGAGAAGCATCAGGACACCCCAGAAAAGGTTCATGTTATGAATAAAACAGCATTTCTTTAAAAAAATGTATAAAATACATATCTGCTTCATTGATACATTTATCATAAATGTTTATCAAATAATCAAAGTTTGACATAATTCATTCTTACAGTCAGAAGTTTTCTAACTCTTAACTACTTTACATATTGTTGATAATTAAACATAAATGAGTCTCATTAAACATTAAACACCCTGCTGGTGTATTTTATACCTGGTTCTTGCGGTAGTCCTGTTGGGAGTGTCGCAGTACTCTGTAGCAAAGTCTCAACATGTACTTGAAGTGAGCGTAGCGCTGATCTCCCAAATCCTCCAACCGCAACAACGGACCATCGCCTTTATCTGCAAACGGAGCTTCTAGGATGCCGAAAATCTAAAAGATTTACAGATAAAAACCCTGGTTTGAACGCTCATTATCAGGAGTTAAATTGCAGTTAGTGGAACATAAAGTGGCATCAAATCATTTATAGCTTCATTTTAATTAGTATTTGTGTATCTGTGGGGGGTGGAAGATTGATTTGTGCCGACCTGAGCGAGGATGTTTTGCTCTCTCATGAGTTTCTGCCTCTCGCGGTTTGGTGTGGAGGTGACCACAGACAGAACGTCCTGTCCGTTGTTTGGCACCACACACACAAAGAAAACCAGGTCTTCCAGCAGTTTAGTCACAAACCTGAAGACGAAACCCGGAACATAAAAACCACGCACACAACCCCCGCTGTTGCCGTCACCCTTTCAGAAGCCTGTACCTCCGTTCATTCGTAGTAATGTTGATGTGCTGGAGCTTCCTCACAGTCGACTCCAACACCTTACTGGCATCGTTGGCAAAATCCAAGTCTCTGACCTCCGACAGCGGAACAGATACTATGGCAAAAGCCTCTTTATCCTCCTTGGAGTGACATGTGCCTATCTAATGTAAGAAAACAAAAATAATCAACAAAACGTCAAGCATCCCTGTACCTTTAGCTTATGTGTGAACGTGACTGTRCACAGACCATCAGCATGACCGGGCGGTCCTCCTCTGTATCGATGGGGAGGTTGGTGCTGGTCACCCAGGTGTTTGTGCACAGGTGCCTGAGTCTCACATAGGAGTTTCTGAAAATTAGAAAACAAAAATTTGATAAAGATCAGATGTTGTATCAGATATCTGTTAAACATTCAAGATGACATTAATCCATAAAACAGCTACACACCAGCAGCAGCATCAGCATGGCTTTATGAACCATCAGGATACAGTTTTATGGTGTTTAGGGTGAATTTCTGACATTTTAATGATAATGTATAAGATATGGAATACAATGGGTTATACAAAATGATGTAACATGGTTTATGATAAACAAGGCATGCTCTGATTTGCTCAGTGTTTTTCAAAGTGGGGGCCACCAAGGGGCTGTAGTGGAGCCTCAGAATGCTGGAGGAAATATAAGAAAAAAATGCACAAATAAAACAAAAAATATTTTCCTAATAAATGCTTTAAATCATTGTCATAAAATCAAATCATTATTTCAA